AAAAAAAAAAAAAATATATATATATATATATATATACATGCCCTGGTAAGAAAAGGTTCTTAGGTGTTTCTTGTCTCGTTTCTAACAAAAGCCATATTTTAAAATAGATGCTGATTGAAGTATGTTTTTAAAAATTATAATGTGTCCATATTTTCTTTTCCTTTTTCCCTTTTTGAGATACTGGGGATTGAATCCAGGCTCGCTGTACCACAGAGGTATACCCCCAGCCCCTTTTACTTTGAGACAGGGTCTCCCTAAGTTGCAAAGGCTGACCTTGAACTTTTGATTCTCCTGCCTCAGTCTTCTGAATTGCTGGCTTTACAGGTATTCACTGCCACACCTAGCTGGTGCCAGATTTTCATCTCAGATCACAACTTCATAAATTTTATTTTTTGGTCAAAAAATGAATTATTATTTAGCTTAGATGAATCCTAAATATTTTAAAAGTAGAGGTCACATTTTAACGTATATTTTATCAGTTATTCTTTTTACATATTATCCAGAATTTGTTTTTTTATTGTTAAACAGTTCATTAATAATGGAAGTTATTTATAATGGAGCTATTTCTTGTAAAGTATAATCCATTTGAGAAGTTAGGGGACCAGAGGTATTCTTTTAAAAAATATATTCTTTTACTAAACAAGGGAAATAGGGATCATTAGTTCTTTATTTTATATTTCAGGTAATATCTCCTAGCTGTAATGATGACATCACAGTGAAAAAGGATCAGTGTTTAGTTCGATCATTTATCGATTCTAAATTGTAAGTAATGAATCACTTAATAATTTTACATGGGAGAATAAGAAGTAGAATCAGTAATAGACCCACTTCACTGTGTCTTTATTTTTAAAATTCTAATCACTTATTAACTGAGAAGTTGTTATAAGTTTTGAGTTTTTGTAATGTAGGGTAGTTTTTACTGATATGAGAATAATATTAAGAAATGTTATTTTCTAAATAAAGCAAGGCATTGATTTTTCTTTAATTGTGGAACTATTTTAATCATGACCATTTTATATTATGAACTATGAACTCATTTTTTATTGAGTTTATAGTACTAGAATAATTATTTTGACTTTCTGATTAAAACCAGACTGTTGGAAACTTCCCTAAGTTTTCCCTCAGTTTTTTTTTTTAAAGGAGAAATTTAATACATACATTTATTAAGTATAATTCTCCAAAAAAATTTAATACCATAATATATCTCATAGTAAAGATACTTAAGTATTAGTTTTGAGTAATTTTTTAAAAATTAAAATTAGTTAACAATTAAGAAATATTGAACATTAAAGTAAGCATCTGTTTCAGTCAGCTTTTTCACTGCTGTGACTAGAAGACCTGACAAGAACAATTTTAGAGGAGGAAAAGTTTATTTGAAGGCTCATGGTTCCAGGTGTCTGTGTCCATAGGCAACCAGCTCCATTCTTTGGGGCTTGAGATGAGGTAGAATATCATGGCAGAAGAGTGTGGCAGAGAGAAACAGCTCACATGATGATTAGGAAGCAGAGAGACTCTACTCACCAGATGCAAAATATATTCCCCCAAAGCATGCCTTCAATGATGCACCTCCTCCAGCCACACCTTATCCACCTTCAGTTACCATTCAATTAATCCTATCAGAGGATTAATTCACCAATAGGGTTAAGGCTCTTGTCACCCAATCATTTCTCCTTTAAACCTTGCATTGTCTCACATGTGAGTTTTTGGGGGATACCTCACATCCAAACTATAACAGCATCACTATCTACAAGTGTTGGAAATATTATGCTTATTATCAGTTTCCCTGCACTATCTGTAGGAGGGTTATATGGATTTAAGGCTCTCAAATTAGTGGTATTTTGAGTATATAAAACTTCAGAAATAAGATACTAGCTTTGCTTGTATTCTCTCTGATACTTTATTAAAGATGGGGATATGCATGGTCTTAGACTTTTAAAACACTTTTATAAACAAAATAAATTTGATTTGGGGTTTTATATTTTTCATTTTTTAATATAAACTACCGAAGTCATAAATTTTATTTAATAAGTGGTTTTCCTCCTCTTTATTTTTCTGTTATTAGTTATTCTATAGCAAGGAAAGATATTAAGGAAGTAGACATTCTCAATCTACCAGAATCAGAGCTCTCCACTAAACCAGGTAAAATAGGAGGAATCAATCCCTTATTTCAAAATGAATGAAATCCCTTATTTCTCAATGAATAAAGCCAGATCGAATATTCTCGGGTGCCCTTTTTACTGTTTAGAGTTGATTATTGCTCTTATCTGATGGCAGGGTTGCTTTTTTTTTTTTTTTTAATGGTGTTGGCTTTGAACCCAGGGCCTCATGTGTGCTAGGCAACTGCTCTACCACTGAGTCACATCCCAGACCTTAATGGTAGTTTTTTAAATGTATGGATAAAATATTTGATTCATAATTTTTAGACATTAATATTTTGCCATTAAGATTTCTAACAGTACTCCTTAAAGTAATAACATTTATACAACATTATAGCTTAAGAAATATGTTCAAATATGTTCAACCTTACCGCATCATTTTATACATGCTGAATTTGAATTCAGATCTTCTGATTCTGAATGTCATGCCTTTTCTGTCATCCTGTGCTGTTAATTCCATAGCAACTGCTGAAGTACATTTTCACTCGTAGGGCTACAGAAAGCAAGTGTCTTCTTAAAAACTAGAATTGTTCCTGATAATTGGAAAATGGATATAAGTGAAATCCTTGAGTCATCCAGTAGTGATGATGAAGATGGTCCTGCTGAAGAAAATGATGAAGAAAAGGAAAAGGAAGCCAAAAAGGAAGAAGAGGAGGTGGTAGGTATAATTTCATGTTTATAGCAAATGTGAACATTTTTAATGCTCTCGAGTAATAATAATACCATCATGTATTTACCCTCTGTTCTAGATTCCCTGTCACTTGTTTCTATCCATTTCTAGCTCAAGTTGATTTGAGGGTTGAGGGAGCTTTTTGGCTCATAACTCAGTATGTAAATCAGCACTAGTTTGGCGGGGGTTAGAAGTGACAAGGAAGTGTTTATCAAGTTTTATCCACAAATTAATATTTGTTTTCTTAGGGTCTTTTCCAAATAACCCAGAAGGAAAGAAATGTACTTTTAAAGTATTTTATTTCATTTAAACCGTTGCCATATGAAATAACTGTTGTTATCCTACTTTGAAGATGAGGTGAGATTCAGAAAGGTGTCACAACTGAAATGTGGAGGATAGGGATTTGAACTCAAGTCTGGTTAGAGAATCTTGGTAGAGGTTAAGAGATAACCTCAAAATCTTTTTCAGGGTAAAAAATTCTATCCAAACCCAAAAAAAAGTTCATTTGGCTGTTTGAGAAAATATAGAAAAAAAATTTAGCTTATATTTTATAAGTATAAATGATTTTCTTTGTAATACTGCCATGTCATTTAAAATACAATTGTAGGAAATCATCCATGGAGTAGCACATAATTGCTTATATGAATATTGTCTACTTATTCAACAGTATTGTTAAATATAATAGATTGTCTAGTACATTTTTGGATGTTATTAGGTCAAGGGGCTTAGGGGTAAAACAAAGAAATGAATTTATTGAAAAAGGACTTATTTGAGCATGTGAAATATTTGCCTAGAAAAATGTGGGATGTTTGTTTCTATTTTACATATACAAATATGAATCTGTGAAATAACATGAGTATAATGATATATGATGAAGGTTATACGCTGTTTCTTTCCTTTTACTTCCTCTGCAGTATTTGGTTTTTTACACTCTGAAATCAGAATGGCGGTTCATACTTACAGGCTGCCTACAGAGTTGCCATAGTAACATGCTGTTGGTTTTAAGTGAGCATGCTCGGAAAGACAGGAAGGTTTAGCAGAGGCTTGGCAGGTTGCCAATGGAGGTTTGCCAGATGCTTTGAAATGGGCTGTCTTTCTTTTCCTTTCATGTAATGTCTGATTTTTATGTGGAAGAGAATGTAAGTAGTGCTGTATAACCCTGCGGATGCTATGCCCTAAGAGGGAAAGCAAATATTTGCAAGTCAGACTGAAAAATGTCCAGACCCTGTACTGATTAAGTAGAAGGGGAATCTAACCATTTTGCATTTGAAAGAAAATGCAGCATATAGGTAAGATTTTTTTTGTATATTTAGTTATCATTTTGATTGCCAAAAATTGGGTTAAATAAGTATTTTAGGTATTGAGAATGTGGCTAATGGTCGGGTTCATAACCAAGTGTAATTGTTTCTTGTAAAAAAGACAGTAGGAGTCTATTTTTAGCCTATCAGAAGATGAAAGGTATTTTTCTTAAATATAAGATAGATTTTGAAATGAAAATGATAATGAGACAGTTTGGCAAAATTCTGGATTTAAAGACTGAATATTAAATGTGAATTTTGTGTTTTATCTGTATTTATTTATGGATTATATGTTTTCAAGATAAATAGGCCACATTTTCAGGGTGTGAACTGTTGCAGCCTGTGGTTTTAGCTTTTGTTTTTTTAATTAACATTAGTTAGGGTCTTTTACTGTCGAATATTGAAAAAAGATTAGTCTATTTATTTTTCTTAATACTTTTAATTGGTGTCCCTTCCAGAATGCATTTTCTCTACCCCCCCAAAAATCCTGAAATTTTAAACAAAGAGGGTAAAAGAGCTTTGTAGGAAGTTGTAGAGGGTGGTTATAAAATAGTAAATAGAGCTTGTATTACAATGATTATTTTTGTAAATATTATGTTTTATTCAAGCTGTGAGGAAATGTTACTAAAGAATGAAAGCAGAGGTAAAAAGCTCTGTTACCTATTGTTTGTAGGTAATAGTAGGGAAATTTTAAAAGATAAGGATGATTAAAAGGTTAGTATCTTAAAATGTTTTACTTAAATTATGAATCTGTTAAAATTAAGTGAACCTGGATGGTTTTAAACTACTAAAAAATATCAGAAAAATTACAAAATATAGACACTGACTTATGTTATTTCCAATTATTTTTCAGATTGTCTAGTTTCATAGCATGCTTTTTAAAAATTCCTTAATATAAACTAATTTCTCTTTTCTCTGGCCATACAAGTAGGTTTTCTTGAGTAAGATTTTGGTTGGTTTAGAAAAAAAATCAGCTGCATTTCTTGCTCTTGGATTTAAGATTTAGTTGCTGAATCATTCTAACTTGTCTTCAACACTAATTTTTAAAATTTAAATATTGTTAAACTGGAAAGCACTTTTAGTCTATACATAACAAATAAAAAATGAATACTGTATAAAATGAATAATCTGAAAAGCCAGGGCCTACCTACCTGGCTTAGTCATTATGGGCCTTTACCACACAAGTGAGGCTAAGCTGTTGTATCATGTTACATATCATAAGTCTTTCCAAAAGGTAGTGTTGCTATGCTTTTCATGAAGATTTAATGTTGCTCTTCAGTGATAAAAAAGATCTTTTATAATATTCTATAACCAATGTGACAATACTGTAGCTGTCATTTGATGTTTGTAGTACAGCAAGCAATTTTACGCAGTAGAATCATACAAGTGTTAGATATTTCTGCAGTGGTAATTAGCAGTAGGCATTGTTTTTATGTTTGATACTTTAGGTGCTCTAACCTAAGAGTAAGTAATAAGGAATTTGAGATTCTATGATTTTATTATGGAAGGGTATTTTGTTTTTACTTCACATTATCTTGAATTCCAAAGCATTTGGTAGTTCAGTATTAGAGTACAAGAAATATATCTCATACTGTTACTGATTGGGAAGACTTGAGGATCTGGCAGAAAGTAGGTCCTAGGTGTATTAATGATTTTAAATTTCAACTATTGACACTTATGTTGAAAAAAGCCCTAGAGAATATTTTTGTGGGTGTTGCCTAAATGTCTTTGTTCAGAAAATTTTATATTATAAAAGAAATACTGTAATTTCTTTTGAGCTTTGAAATTGATTGAAAAGTCCAGGAAAACACAAGTAATTATATCAATTATTCATTTACTCTTTACATATTTATTCTGAATAAATATAGGGAGATTTTCTAAGGGTAAAATAAATGCATGGCTATTTAAAAGATTGATTATCAAGGGGAATTTGATGGACTTAGCCTTTTAAATCCTTATGGTTTGCTATAAGTAGGCTTATATGTTGGGTAATTTTTAAAAACCTTCTATGAATTTATGTTTAGTAATGAAAATTGAAATTTAGTGAATTTTTTTTAAGAACTGCTCTTTTAGTGTACATGTATTAATACTCATTTCCCTAGTCTTTTGACTTTTCTAGGGATGATTGTTTCATTTAATGTCTGAGACTCTACTCCATTATTGTAAAAATCATAAGTGCTTGCATTTTTTAATTCAAGGAAACATGAATATTTTTTGATGTTTAATCCAGTGTTATTTGTATATTAATCTATGCCTTTTGCAGATTGTAAAGGCATTTGATAAAGTAATCATTCAGGATCACTTTGGGTATGAACTTAGAGTAAATGTTTGATAACTTGGGGAAATCATGCTAAGTCAGTAAAACTTTAAAGATCTTAAATGTAATGTCAATAGTTTATCTAATAATTCAATCTGCCAATCATCAGATGTTTTTAAGCTGATCCTAAAAAGCCAAATTTCAAGGAATAATTTAGATTTTTAGCTTTCATTCAAATTTAAGAACTTACTTGCTAAAGTCTTAAACGTACTAATCAAGCTAACAAAAATGCCTTAATGAGTTTAGCAAAATCTCTCTTCTGATGCAAGCATAAAACTCTAACCAAATTAAGGTTATCTCGTCAGATTTAGAGTATTGTACATTTTTTGTACTAAAAACACTTTTCATTCAATGTATTTTATAGTTTTGGTGATATTAGAGGGTTGACTGATTAAAAACTTGGATTTGATAGTGTCCAAACCATATCTTGATGATTAAATGTATGTACCTTTTCCAATGGGGAAAATAATTACTAGACTCAGTGAACTCTGATACAATATAAATGTCATGTAATCATTTATTGTAGGCTGACTTTGTTAAACTACAACAGTGTTTTACTATGAATGTGTCACATATCATGTGATCTGTGAAGTTTTCTGTAAGTATATAACAGGAAAGAATGGTACTAATTTAAATTATACGATTATCAAATTTCACAGGGCCTTCAGTACTATTGGGCAATCCCCAGCTTCTGTAATCAAATCTTTATTTCTTCCATTAAATCAACAACCCTATTCCCACTCCACTTCAACTTCGGGAAGAAACTAGGAGCTTCAAATGTTGTCCACGCTCCTTCCCAAGGAACATTTGACAACATATTGTCTTCTCTGTAAGAGAGGTATCTCAGTTCATGCTCTGAACTTCTTTCTTTCAGGAAATCTTAGATAATCAACTCTTTTTTTCTCACCAATATCTTTAGCCCATATCCTTGTTTTGTATCCTCAGCAGCACCTTAAAACATGCCTGTTTTAACCTCCCCCCATATTCCTTCCGCTAGTCTTGGAAGCCTCTACTGTCCCTCCAAGTACTATGCTCTTTCCTCACCCCTGTGGCTGGATTGCTGAGCTGTATTTACTGGTTGAGCTATCTATACTGTTCCTGATCTCTTTTTCACTCTTAATTCATTGTGGTGTGTCTCTTCTCAACACAACTTGAACAACTTTAGTAAGGTTACCAGTGACCACCAACAAACTTTTGTACTAAATCAAAAATTTTTTATTTCAGTTCATTTGTCTACTAGCAGGATTCAACAGCCCTGACATACCTTTTTTAAGACACTTCACACACATGGCATTAACCTTTTTTCCCCATTTACTTCCTAACCAAACACTATAATGGCTCCAAATCTGTATGTGCATCAAAGATGTCTTTTT